TCTTTCTTTCTTTCTTTCTTTCTTTCTTTTTTCATGCCATCCATCTTGTCTGGAGACAATTCACATAGCTATTGTGGGATGAATACGTTGGTCCCTGAGGGATAACATAAACTGTCGGTTAAAATATCAAATAGGAATTTCCCAACGCTTCATTCAGCTGTGGTGGATAGTAAACCCAAGGTCTGTCTCATGCCTTGATTTGGAAAAATATAGGGTGTGAACAGATTGTCATTCAGGGACTTTGACGTCTTCCTATGTCCAGGAAAAATGCATATTTACCCTGAAATAAATGTTGGGATCAATCAATTAAAAGAGACCTTGAAAATCCTTCCTGGAGCTGTTGATTAATTGGGAATTATTTCTTCCTGTTGCAGAATTCTCTGTCCTTTGATGATGTAGCTATTTTCTTCTCAGTGGAGGAGTGGGATCTGTTAGACTTCAACCAAAAAATCCTGTACAACGAAGTTATGCTGGAAAATGCCAGGAATGTGGCCTCCACAGGTAAATGAAGTAAAGACTTCATCTTTACCCTGACTTCAATTCAGTGGGAAAGGTATTTTCTAGTAAAAAAAAAAACCAACTCTGTTTATTAGAGGAAATGTTGACCTGGTTGTCCCAAAGGTGCTTTTCTTTTTCCTCAAAAGGCCACTGGATTTTGTTTTTCCTTGAAGACGTTTCACTTTTCATCCAAGAAGCTTTCTTCAGTTCTGACTGAAGAAAAACCAAGTCCAGTTGCCTTTTCAAAAACCACCTTTGGGACAACCATGACCTGGATGACAGAGAATCTCTACAGACATGTTGACCTGGTCGTTTCCTAGAGGGAAGAAATTGTTCTTAATTAGACTGCACTTATGACGATACAGAGCACTGCACAACAGAACAACTAGACACAAGGACAGTTTTTTCCTGAGCGCCATCACTCTGCTAAACAAATAATTCCCTCAACACTCTCACACTATTTACTAAGTCTGCATTACTATTACTATTAATCTTCTCATCACTCCTTATCACCCATCCTCTCCCACTTGTGACAATATGGCTATAACTTTGTCGCTTGTACCCTTACGATTTATATTGACTGTTTCCTAGTATGATTTGATTGCTTATTGTACCCTGTGACTATTATTAAGTGTTGTACCTTATGATTCTTGACTCTTGACGAATGTATCTTTTCTTTTATGTACACTGAGAGCATTTGCACCACAGACAAATTCCTTGTGTGTCCAATCACACTTGGCCAATAAAGAATATTCTATTCTATTCTATTCTATTCTATTCTATTCTATTCTATTCTATTCTATTCTATTCTATTGTTTTCATTGTGGACTAAAATTATTTTGCTGTCCTTAGAGAGAACGTCCTCTCATTCGGTGATATTTCGAAGCCCCAATAGGCCCACAGGATTTATCACAGGGAAACAGAATTACTACTAATTGTGCCCTACTCATTACTTTGCTTGATTCGCAGGAGGTGCTGCGGCCATTCACTAACATTTGCCTCAGGTCCTTCTTGTAATAGCTGCTACTTCATGAGACCTGAGGTAAAATAACATTCTAGAACCGCAGAAGTGCTTTGTCAAGGGAATGCAACCTCATTCAACCAGTTTGGACTTCTGCTCTCATGTTCCCTTTCCAGTTACAGGTAGTCCTCAACATGCAACAGTTCATTTAGTGACTGTTCAAAGTTACAACTGAAAAAAAAGTGACTTATGACCATTTCTCGCACCTATGACCGTTGCAGCATCCCCATGGTCACATGACCAAAAATTCAGTCGCTTGGCAACTGACTCGTATTTATGACTGTTGTGATTATGTGATCCCCTTTTGCAACCTTCTGACAAGCAAAGTCAAAGGCGGAAGCCAGATTCACTTAATGACCATGTTTCTAGCTTAATAACTGAAGCAATTCACTTAATAACTATGCAAAAAAGATTGTAAAGTGGGGCAAAACTCACTTAACAACTGCCTCATTTAGCAACAGAAATTTGGGGCTCCATTGTGGTCATAAGTCGAGGACTACCTGTATTTGTCTTCCAACAGCACAGCTGTGATAATAATCACAAAAAGAACTGAAATCTGGAGACACGTGAACAAGAGCTTTATTATTAAGCTTTTGCAAAAGAGAATTCTGCTCTCATGGCAGAAGACATTTTTCCCAGGAGGGCTGGGGTTTATATACAGGTTCAAATATACACCCTCTGCTCCTTTCCTGGGTTCACAATCAATCCAAGCTACGTATCTCCCTACGCCACACCCATATTATTGTAGCGTAACACCTGTTTCCTTGTCCTTGGAAACTACCCGCGTTCTCATGGCTGTGTCTTCCTGTTATGTCCATCGAAGCACGATGGATCATTAACAGGTTTCCATTGGGTCAGAATGACCCTAGCATCTCTCACATTTATCTTTAAGCCAAGATTACAAACCTCCATTCCAGCCAAGAACTTGACATTTTACTTTTAGAACATAACAAGTTACAAAACATAATGTGTTTGTTAGATTCAGTTATATACCTGTCGAGTAATCATTGCACAGGTCATATATCGGATAAACATGGATTCCCTCCTGTTCTTCCTTTTCTCAGGTGTAACTTACTATATGTAATTTTCAGATATAACAACAGCTTTCTCTTATTTTAACATCAACTTTCTCTTGCGTGTTATATAATCTAATCAATTGCTTCCTTGGATCTGGGTGTTACCCTATTACTTGATTCCATTTTACTTTCCTCACTACTGATATCACACTAATAAACTCCAGATTAACTTACAACGTGGCTTCATGTTGAGACTGAATAGCAGAGAGAACAAAATGGAAAGCTGTGGGACATGAAATGTAAACAACCCTAGTTCAATTGGTATTCCCCATTTCTACGTCCGGGATGGGACCTGATAAGAAAGACTGGAAGGACAGTTAAAATACATCCCCCAATAATTAATCCTACTTTGTGATCCAGAAGAAGTAGAAATGACACAGACTCTTGATAATGTTTAAATAAAAAAGAGCAGCCAATTAGATTTTATCCCTGCGTTGTTGGTCTGAGCTCCAAGCTTGGCAATTTGGTTGCCAACGTTTCATCACCATTCAAGGAGACGACGTCAGTGCGCTTGGAATTGTGTTCCTCTGTCCAAACACTGGTCTTTAAATAGCTTTTTATAAGATGCAGATAAGTGTGGGTGTTGTTTGTTCAGCCATTTCTGAGTCATGGCCTGATTCTGGACTGTTTGACTGGATGTTGTTAACTGGTAACTGTTGTTACCAAGACATGATATTTGGTTTTAGCTATCTTTTGTATGATGTAAATTAGTGTCGTCTGTTCGGATGCTTCTGAGTCATAGTCTGGTTTCCGGCTGGTTGTTGTTAATGGGATGTGATCAGTGGTGGAATTCAAATTTTTTTACTACTGGTTCTGTGAGCGTGGCTTGGTGGGCATGGCATGGCTTGGTGGGCGTGGCAGGGGAAGGATACTGTAAAATCCCCATTCCCTCCCCACTCCACTAACCTGCTTTCCAACTCCGTTCTCCTGTGCAGGGCAACAAAAGAAGACCCAGCCAATCAGCTGGGACTTGGGAGGCAGAGAATAGATGGGGGCGGGGCCAGTCAGAAGTGATATTTGCCGGTTCTCCAGACTACTGAAAATTTCTGCTACCGGTTCTCCAGAACTGGCCAGAACCTGCTGAATACCACCTTTGGATGTGAATTTCTTGTGAATGGATGTTGTTATGTAGTGGGGTGGCTGTTTGTTCATTTGGGAGCATGGTTAACAGAGTTCTTTCCTTCTCAGCGATTGCTAGACTGGATTGATGTCAATGTGCCTGTTTATTGACATATTGGTGGAAATCCAGGCTTCGAGGAATTCTTTTTCTCTCAAACTTCTCAGTCTTCAAACTTGACAGCTTTAAGACTTGTGGACTTCAATTCCCAGAATTTTCCTGAGCTAACATGACTGGAGGAAGAATTCTGGGAGTTGAAGTCCACAAGTCTTAAAGCTGTCAAGTTTGAAGACTCCGATCTAGGCCATCTAACCATTGAAGCAAAACCTAGCTGATATTATATAAAAAAACAGATACTGGACCGATATATACCCTTAGTGTATAGCCAGTCCCAATGTGTTCTATAGTTTGACGTCACACTGAGAGGAGGATATTTATAGGAGCCATGGTAACGCAGTGGTTAGAATGCAGTACTGCAGGCTACTTCTGCTGACTGTCAGCTGTCAGCAGTTAGGCAGTTCAATTCTCACCAGCTTAAGGTTGACTCAGCCTTCCATCCTTCCAAGGTCGGTAAAATGAGGAACCAAATTGTTGGGGTCAATATGCTGACTCTGTAAACTGCTTAGAGAGGACTGTAAAAGCACTGCGAAGCAGTGTATAAGTCTAAGTGTTATTGTTATTGCTATACAGAGAGTTTTGCAGACGTTGTGTGAGATGTGAATCCTATTTAGGATTGTCCATTGCTGGCGTGGCTGTTCAAAGCCTGGCACCTTATTTGTGGAGTCATTTGTATGTCTTCCTATGTCTAAATGTTCAGCGACCCATTTGGTTTTCCATTGGAAATCGATGTCAAAGTTCAAGTGCCAGTGGGAGCTTCCTGGTTTTGAGTCTTCTGGCTTTTACCTTTTCTGCTTTAAAGGTGTAATACGTATTTTTCTTTCTTTTTTGTCCCAAGGAGTTGGATGGCCAGAGAGTGCAAATTATAAACAGACATCTGTGAAACAATCACAAACAGTCAGAAACAACATTGGAGAAGGGATGTTTGAAAATCCACAGGGACCAGAAACATCTGAACGCAACCAATTAAACAAGAGAAGAGCAAAATCTTGTACTCCTCAGTGGGCCGAAATCCATTTTTATCTTGGCCAGCAAGGACACGAAAAAGAAATGAAGTGTCTCGCCTGTGGAAAAACACGTAGAGGAAATTCAGATTTCTGCGAATACTGTAGAACTCACAACAAAGCAAAACAATACAAGTTTGGGGAGCATGGACAAAATTACAATGGGCCCCTCCTTCATACCTTACATCAAACGACCAAAACCGGAGAAAAAACATATCCTTGCACAGAGTGCGGGAAAACCTTCAGCAAGAGCAGTAATCTTAATGCCCATAAAAGGATCCACACAGGCGAGAAACTGTATCAGTGCATGGAGTGTGGAAAGATGTTCAGGTGGAGTAGTGGGCTCACCTACCATAAGAGGATCCATTCAGGAGAAAAACCCTATCAATGCACGGAGTGTGGAAAGAGCTTCAGTGGCCTGAGTTCCTTCACTTCCCACAAAAGGATGCATTCTGGGGAAAAACCCTATAAATGTGCCGAGTGTGGGAAGTGCTTCAGTGGTTTCAGTTCCTTCACTTCCCACAAAAGGATGCATTCTGGGGAGAAACCCTATAAATGCACGGAGTGCGGGAAGTGCTTCAGTGGTCTCAGTTCTTTTACGTCCCATAAAAGGATCCACTCTGGGGAGAAACCGTATAAATGTATGGAGTGTGGGAAGAGCTTCACTATGAGCAGTCACCTGATTTCTCATAAAAGGATCCACTCGGGCGAGAAACCTTACCAATGCACGGAATGTGGAAAGAGCTTCACTTTAAGCAGCCATCTTACTTCCCACAAAAGGATACACTCGGGGGAGAAACCCTATAATTGTGATGACTGCGGACGGAAGTTCAGGTGGAGCTGTCACCTGACTTCCCATAAGAGGATGCACTCGGGAGAGAAACCCTACGTGTGCACAGAGTGTGGGAAGAGCTTCATTGACCTGAGTTCCTTTTCTTCCCATAAAAGGATCCACTCCGGCGAGAAACCATATCAATGCGCGGAGTGTGGGAAGAATTTCAGGAGTGCCACTAATCTGAGTGAACACAAAAGGGTCCACTCAGGTGAAAAGCCGTATAAATGCACAGAATGTGGGAAAAGCTTCAGGTGGAGCAGTTGCCTTTCATCCCATAAGAGGATCCACACGGGGGAGAAACCGTACAAATGCATGGAGTGTGGAAAGGAATTCCGGAAGAGCTGTTCTCTCACTACTCATAAAAGGATCCACACAGGGGAGAAACCATATAAATGCACGGAGTGCGGAAAGAGTTTCACTATGAGTAGCAGCCTGATTTCTCATAAAAGAATTCACACCGGTGAAAAGCCGTATACCTGCGTGGAATGTGGGAAGACTTTCCGCAAGAATGATAATCTTACTTCCCATAAAAGGGTACATACGAGATATAAACCGTGCTAATGTTTTGGACAAAGGGGACAGGTCCTCAGTCACAGCAGTCATCCTGTCTTCAAATTTACACCGAGGGTAGCTTCAAAACGTAGAAAGATCTCATATATTGCTCTGAACCAGGGGTGTCAAACTCAAGGCCCACAGGCAGGGTACGGCCCATGGGATGCTTACAACTGGCCCATGGGGCCAGCCTGAAAATAGCAAAGGACCAGCCCGCAGTGCCTCTGGCAGACAAAATGGGGCATGGGGAGGTGCATCCGGCCCCTGCATGCCCCATTTTCGGCCTGGACAGCCTCCTTCAGCATTTTGCCAGCCAAAATGGGCTGCGTGAGGGTCGCATGCCTCATTTTGGCTGGCAAAGTAATGCAGGAGGCTGTCCAGGATGAAAACAGGGTGCACTGGCAGCTGTTGATAAGCTTGGGCTAGGTCAAGCTTTGTGAATACCTTTCCGCCCCCAAGTGAGTGAAGGAGATGTTGGACCACGGGTACTGGATAGGCGCTCTGCTGTAACACGTGGTTGAGGGTAGCCTTGTAATCCCCACAAATTCTCAAAGATCTGTCAGGTTTTATGGGAGTTACAATTGGGGTCTCCCATCGGGCGTGGTCGATGGGTTCTAACATTCCTTGTGCTATTAATTTGTCCAATTGCTCGTCAATTTTTGGTTTGAGAGCAAAGGGAACTTGGCGTGGCTTTAGGCGAATGGGTGCGATATCAGGGCAGAGATTAAACGAGATGGGGGACCCTTTGTACTTGCCTAATTGTTCAGTGAAGACTTCTTGAAAGTCACGGACGAGGGCCGCCTCCCAGTCTTCGTCTACAGTCTGGTTGATGCCTGCCATTTCGATTCCTAATGGTGCGAACCACTGAAGACCCAATAAGCTGGGCCGGTCTCTGTCAATGATGGTGAGGGGTAGTATTGCGGTGTGGTCCTTAAAGGAGACCTGGACGTGACTGGAACCAACAACCAGGATTCGATTGCCCTGGTAGTCCTTTAATATAAGTCTCTGGGTGCTGAGATCCTGGCGGCGGATGTCAGGGATCAGCTGCTTGAGGGTTTTCCAGGAGACCATGGATAGGGAAGACCCGGAGTCCACTTCCATGATGCATGGACGATTTTCAATGGTGACCTTTACCCGAATTTTTTTTTGCGTCTAATGATGAAGCGTGGCCGATGGTGATGGTCTGATGTGCCTCTTCCCGTCTGGTTACGCCAGTAAACATCCGGTTTTTGTTGTACTGGTTCCACTGGTTGTTCGGGCGGTCCCGATTTGTTGGTGGGGTGCCTGCTGCTTGTCGGAAGTTATTTTCTTTTCTCTTGGGGCTGGATCCTCTTTTGTTCCGGCACACTTTAGCAATGTGGCCCCTTTTCTCACAGGAACGACAGATGGCGTCTAGGAACCTGCATTCTGATCATGGGTGGTTCCCCCCGCATCCGGCGCATTGAAAATTGGATTTACGACCCCGCTGGTCTCGCTGCTCGCGCTCTGACCTGAGTCTGTTGACTTCTTCCTCCTCGCTATCCGATGAGGAATCGATGTCTTCATGGTGGGTGGATGATGTGTATTTTTCTGATGATATTGCCGTGTCGCTGGTGGGTTGGCGGCTGGCCCGATTCGCTCGGCGCATTCGGGCTGCTGATTTGCGGGTGGCTTCCACTGCAGTGGCATCTGCTATGGCATCTGCGAGGGTGATGTCTCCCTTTGCCATAATCTTGCTCTGGACAGTGGGGTCTCTTAGACCAAGAACAATCCGATCTCTCATGGCTTCTTCTAGGTTTGTGAAGCCACACAGTCCACCCAAATTTCTTAGGTCAGCTACAAAGTCCCCGATGTTCTCACCTTCGCGTTGGTCCCTCTGGTAAAATTCGTGTCTTCTAATAAGGGTAGGAACTGCTGGAGCGTAATGGGCACAAAGGATGGGAGCAAGGGTATCCCAGTCCATCGTTTTGACTTCAGCTGGTTTGGCAAGCGCCTTTGCCATTCTGAAAACGGCGGGTCCGCAATGTGTTAGGAAAACCACACGTTTTTTGCTAGACGTGGCATCCTTCAGATTGTTAGATTCCAGGAACATTTGAAACCTGTCCATATATGAGTCCCAGTCTTCGCTGGCTGGATCAAATGGGGCGGGTGGTATAGCGCTGCTGGCCATTCTGCCGATGTCTGTGCACTTCAGCCACGTGCTCTGTCGATATTCTGCGAGTGCTCAGTCAGCTCTATCGTCTCCGCATCCCACCCTCGTCACCAGTGTTATGTCTGGGAGGATGGGCGTAATAACGGAGACGAGACCTCGGATAGTAACTTCAACTCTTTAATAGTGACTTCAGATCAGAGCAATGAACCTGGCAGCAGCAGCTCCTTTTATAGAGCTGGCTGCTGCCGAAACGTCCAATGACAACGATTTAAGCTTGCCGCACTTGGAGTGTCCAATTGCGGCAGCCCGTTAACGAGCCAATTGGATCAGCCCGGAGGGACCAATCACGACTCGCTATTGACGGACCAATCAGGTTTGCAGGATTACGAGCCTGCTAGTCCAGAACACTATGGTACGCGAGTCCCGGGCAAACTTACCTCACTGCGCATGCACGCACCTCCCAGCTGATTTTCGGGCCATTTTTGGCCTCCCAGAGGCTTGAGGGAAGCCTCTGCAGCTTTTGGAGGCCGAAAAACAGGCCCGTTTCATCGCTTCCTGTATTTCCGGAAATAATGGAAGTGACGAAACAGGCCCATTTTCGGTCTCCAAAGGCTGCAGAGTCTTCCCTCAAGCCTCTGGGAGGCCGAAAAAGACCCAAACATCAGTTGGGAGGCATGCGCAGTGCAGGTAAGGGGGTAGCGGGGGGTCAATCGCACATGCAGGGGGTGGGGGAGCATGCGCATTGCCTTCTGGGTGCTGGCATGCGAACAAGTGCAAGCACGCACCCAATTTTTGTCACAGGAGCCCAAAAAGGTTAACCACTACTGCCATAGAGGATTCCTTCCACACATGGGATAAGCCATGTAAATGTCAGACTTTGGGAAAAAAAGATTTTAATGAGAGACAAGAAAATACCAAGCATTTGCCCATGCCTGATGTGTTTCTTGTCTATCTGGCATCTAATCAACTGTACAAAACAAATATCTTTGAATGCTATATGGTGCATCAACACTTTTTTATTTCCTTCATTATCTGATGGGAAAATAAGTGGAGTGGTTTTTCATGAACTGAGTTAATAGAATACAGTATTGCAGGATTTGGTGGGAGGTACAGGTGACAACAGCTGTGGATTGTTTCTAATATTAACCCAGTATTTCTCTACAACTTTTAAGGTGTGTGGATTTCAGCTATCAAAACCTCAGCCAGCACTGTTAGACAACCCTTGACCCTAACCCAGGGTTCTAAAACCTTAAACACTAAAAGAGCCATTTGGGCCCGTTTCTCACAGAAAACAAAACACCGGGAGCCAAAAATTTAACAACCGGTGTGACTGGGTGGGCGTGGCCAACTCAACATCACTCACTCTCACCCAGTCACCTCTTGCTCTGGAATATGGAGCGAGTCTCCATCCCCCGCCATCACCCTTACCTTCTCAGGCCAGGCGAGGAGTGACAGGGAGACCAGCCAGTGATGGGATCAGCCAACAGGGAACTGTAGCAGAGGGCCAAAAGAGCCGCATGTGGCTCCAGAGCCGCAGGTTTTAGAACCCTGCCCTAACCCTAACTTTCGACTTATCCATGTTCACATATTTGTTTTTCAGTACTTAAAATCCCTTCTCTTAAGATCCAAATGGGGCTTCTCGTTATTTTTTTTTCCTTTCTCGGTCCAATTACAGGTAGTCCTCGACTTATGACCACAACTGAGCCCAAATTTTCCATTGCTAAATGAGTCCGTGAGTTTTGTGACCTTTCTTGCCACAGTTGTTAAGTGAATCACTGCAGTTGTTAAGAGAGTAACACGGTTGTTAAGTGAATCTGGCTTCCCAGACTGGACTTGGCTTGTCAGAAGGTCGCAAAAAGGGGTTCCCTTGTCCTCAGGACAGTGCAACCATCATAAATATGAGTCAGTTGCCAAGTGTCTGAATTTTGATCATGTGACCTTGGGGATGCTTCAATGGTTGTAAATGTCAGCATTCCAATTAGCCAATACCAAACCAAGAAACTCCGAGACAAGCATTTCCTCAAAAGTTCCATTTTATTAGAGTTGTCATATTGGCACATCCGGAGAAACCTATTGTGGTTCATCGGCAGCAGGTGTGGACGGCTGAGGTTTCGGAGAGCGAGGACTCAGATGAGGGGCCTGCGTGTGATGCAGGGATGGGGCCAGGACCATTAGGGAGTAGAATGCTACCTTCGGAGACTGTGGAGGCTGGCAGCAGTGATGAAGAGGCCCCCGAGGAGCCCGTGCCCAGCGCACATGCACGCAGGGCTGCTCGAAGGAAAGAGCAGGCGACTCGGGAGCAAGGCTGCAAGGTAATGGCCCCTCCCTGAGAAGATAAAAGCCAGCTGAGAAACCGCAGTTCTTTGCAGAAAGCAAAGAAGTTTATACTCGAGCCTGGTGGACGTTAGGAATATCTGAGTTGGTGTTTGGAGACTCTTTGTTTTATTGTTTAGTAATTTTATCTGATGTTCTTGGCAGCCTTGCAAAAATTTAGCAAGGCTCTTTCTTATCGGAGCTAATTAGTTGGAAGTAGCCTTTTATCTGTGAAGGACCGGGATTCGTAAATGAAACATTTAAAGGGTGTGCTGTTACCTTTGTCTCGTGTTTGCTCTCTTGGAACCAGGTTTGGGTCAGAACAAAACCCGAATCGGAGAGTTCCGGGTTTTCCCTTCCCAAAAGAAAATCAAAGATTCATCCCCTGCATCCATCAGTCCATCACATGGCCCAATCAAATCTTCTGTCAACTCATAAAACATTTCTATGCCTGTTTTAGACTTGCCATGAACTGGGGGCGGGGAGAGAATTTGAAGGAGCAGTATGGCAGTTTGAAACCAAAAGGTACATTCCATTCTTCTCTTGCAAAGATTGTAACTTAAGCTACTGGAATTTCTGCCGTGAAAATCCCTAATTGCAGAAGTAACTATGAACTTGTTTCATTGGAGACCATGAACTATGATACACCCAGAGGGGTGGGGGGGGAAACAGGGTGATAGGTGATAGTGAATTACCGTATGTGTCTCAGAATCGGCTTCATACAGGTCATGCCAACATGTTCGCTCCTAGTAAATCCTTTGAAGTTTTTGAAGTTTGGCTCGAGGCTCATGATTTAATTAGGGCAACTGCCGGAATCCTGACATCTTTGTCCCAACTGAAGACATGGACTCAGGTGGTAGGATTCACTTTTGAATGGACAGAATTGTTGACTTGGATGATGATTTAGATACTATCTGCCTGATTATTTGTTTTTGCTTGCATATTAAGGAACAATCATAAAATTCTTAAGCACTAGAAATGTCAGCGTGTTTTAGTGTTTATCACTGAGTTTTAATCAACTGCACCAAAGAAATAGCATCATTTTCAAAATGAAAAAATCCACCATATATATTCTAAGGCTCATCTTCCTTTGTTCCTTCTTTCACTGGATTGCTTTGGGACATATATCGAGAGGCAGAGGATGATGGGTGAGGAGGTCTATTTTTCCTAACCCAGCAATATGTATTAAATAGATGAACACAGACAAAGGAGCAACTACTTCCACACAGACTGTTGAAAAAGCAGGAACTAAAGAACACTGATGAAGTATCTTACGAGACCAGGAAGAGTAAATAGCAATAGCCCTTAGACCACTTCACACTGCTTTACACTCCTTTCTAAGCGGTGTACAGGGTCAGCATCTTTCCCCCAACAATCTGGGTCCTCATTTTACCGACCTCGGAAGGATGGAAGGCTGAGTCAACCTTGAGCTGGTAAGAATCGATCTGCCAAATTGCAGACAGCTGGCAGTCAGCAGAAGTAACCTGCAATACTGCATTCTAACCACTGTGCCACTATGGCTGTTTATGGCATTGTAAAGCATGATGAAAGATGCTGTCATGCCCCTGTTGGAGTCTGAATCTGAGGAGGAAGAGGAACAGCTGACAGGGAGTGTAAGTGTAGCTCTGTTGGCTGTGAAGGAAACTGGGGAAAGGCAAAGTCTGACTGGGCAGAGCAGGGAAGTGGTAGAACAAGGGAGAGGGAGCTCAAAGGAAGACCCAGGCCCACCCCCTCTTCATCCTAGGGCACGCAGGGAGGAAGGGAGAAGGGAGCAATGTGGGTTGTGTGGCTTAAGGGGGAGGAAAGGGCCCTGATTCCCTTCATTAGCCACACCTGGGAATGAGAGCTTAAAAGAGATGCAAGCTGATATGGCAGCTACTGGGAACAAACGTGAGTTTATTTTGTGTTGACTGGTTATCTGCATTCCTGGCATCCTCCCAACCAGGTTGATTTACTGTTGTTCCTTCACATCTGGAATTCCTTCTCTTGCCCTGCCGGACTAATTACCTCATCTTGCCCTGATTGGACTTATAGTTACAGTTTTTGTTGACCACGTTTTGGACTTGAATCTCTGCAGCCAAAGGCTGTTCCTGGGAGAGTTTTTCTCTGGTCCAGAAGGTAACCAGGACATTAGGGGCAAAGTTGGAGCTGATAAAGGGACTCCAACTGATTATCTGACTGTGTTGCTTTTGTGCCATGCCCCGGGTCATCACAGATGCTAAAGACAACAAAAATGGGGTTTCACTTCAAAATGAGGATTTTTTTTTTTAAAAAAGCAGAAGGTTGGGGAAATGGCATCAAAAATTGACCTCAGCAATGCATTTTATAAATTACCCCAAGATATTCGGTTTTGCAGGATGGAGCCATTATTATTAATAAAATCCCATTTATTATTCTTTGGACTATCTTTTTCAAACTTGGTAAGTTATATACTTTGTTCTTGGGCCTGAGATTCTTACTAATATTAATGGACAGGAATGCAAATCATATTTATAAAATTAGGTAGGTTTTTAACGCTTCAGCACAATTTTGGGAGAGAAAAACTTGATTGACATTTCCTACAATAGCTTCCAACTTTCCCTAAGGTGAAAAAGGGAAGATTTCTGTAATGTCAGTTACTTTTATTTGGTTGTTTGCTTTCTCTTACTGTGGTGGTGGGTTTTTGTGTCAGCTGTACACATTGTTTCTTTTCTTCCTCACAACTTGAAATCTGGAAAAACCTCAGTACTTTTTAAATGGTTTTTCTGATGTATTTTTTTTTTCTGTCGTATCTATCTGGGCACTTTTTTCCAGGAATTTCTTTTCCTTCAGTCTTCATGGTTTTTCCCATCTTCTGAGTTTCTTTTCTTTTTCTTTTTAATTTAAATTTTATTTTTTTTAAAAGATTAAAATACAAAACTCTTTAAAAAATCAAAGAAAAAAAGACACAAAACAAACATCAGCAAGTGCACTGAAAAAACCCCTATACACATAGATTAAAATAAAAAAAAAATCCAAAAAATTAAATAAAAACAAGATTCTTTAAAAAGTGCATTTAAAAAAAGAGAAAAAAACCCAAACATCTCTACACATATTAGCCTCACTAGTTGAATACTGATTAATACATTATTAAAATTTTGATCTCCTGAGTTTCTATGCAAGGATACACACTAGGCATTTCCTGGTGGTCTCCTATCCCTGCTTAGCTTCCCATCTTCCCAGCCTGGAGAGATGCAGACATGTATTTAAATATGCTTTGGGATTTAGGTACAGATACAGATTAAGAGTTGGAAGGGAACTTGTTGGTCATCTAGTCCAACCCCCCGCATAGGTCTCTTGAAAGAACCACAAAAAAGGCCTTGGAGTGTGGGGTTTGAGCCAGGCACCCCAAATCTTTAAAAAAAAAAAAAAAACCTCCATGGCCCTGTGCCACGGGGGGGTGTATTTGTGGTAATAAACCAATTTAGGAATTCGGTCTCTGCATAAACACTCCCCCCACCCCCCCCGGGAAACAGGCCCCGTAAGGAGGGCGGCGGACGTCACAAGCAAAGGAGTACTGGCAGCCTCCAAACTTCACCACGGGATTTGAGCATGCGCAGTCTCCCTTTGCCAGCGGTTGGCATGAAAAGGAAAGCAAGAAGCGGGTGCACCCAGCAAAGTCTTCCCCCTCGAAACCCGGTATCCTCACAAAACCTTCCCCCACCCCCTCCCATTCTTCGTGCAGCCCCCTGCGGCCTCCTCATGGGCGGGGTGAAATTTCTCCCGCGAAAGAGACTCGTCCCCCTCCTACAAGAACCACCGCTCCCCGCCTCACGACCACGAAGGAGGAAGCAGGCTACAAATCTCCAGGCAGGTGAGACAAAGCCTTGGGGATGCTGGGAAAAACGGCAGGAAGAGAGAGTTTCTGCAATAAGGAAAGGGGGGGAAATGGAGGAGGAGGGGATGGTTTGAAATTTGCATTTTGCAAGGCATGATGCATGCCAGTGCCACCGGGATCAGGCCCTCCAGGAGCCTGGCCTTTTCCCAGATCCAGACCCAAACTCTCCTGTTGGTATATATAGGATCTCTTGCTTGGGGGGGGGGGGGGGGGGGGGGGGGGCGAGAAGACCTCCAAGATCCCTTCCAGCTGGATTCTGATTCTGATTCTCCATTTGTCCTCTCTTCCTCGACTTCATGGAGACTCCTGGGTCTCCTGAGAAGAGAGTGGACCACTCCTTTGTCTGAAACGGTACTATAGGGCTTCCTGCCTGAGCAGGGGGTTGGACTGGATGACCTCCAAGGTCCCTTCCAACTCCATTACTGTGTTCTGTTATTCTGTCTCTGGGTTCCCCGTGGCACAAATGGAAAGATAGTATGCTTAATACATGCCGATTCGTGTACATTTAAAATAAAGTTATTCTATGTCTAAGAATGCTGCTGAGAGTTTATGGAGATTCTCAGTCGTCCAGGTCATGGTTAACCCAAAGGTGCTTTTTTCAAGAGGCAACTGGACTTTCTGGTTTTTCTTTGAAGATGTTTCACTTCTCATCCAAAAAGCTTCTTCAGCTTCTTCTTCTTGGCTGAAGAAGCTTCAGAAGAAACCCTCCCATACCACCACCTCTTACAATATTAGACAACACAGTATCAACAGTAGAGACTTTCAAATTTCTAGGTTCTACTGTATCACATGACCTAAAATGGACACCTAACATCAAAAACGTCATCAAAAAAGCACAACAAAGAATGTTCTTTCTGTGCCAACTCAGAAAGTTCAAACTGCCCAAGGAGCTGCTGATACAGTTCTGCAGAGGAATTATTGAGTCTATCATCTGCACCTCTATAACTGTCTGGTTTGGTTCTGCAACCCAACAGGACTGACACAGACTTCAGAGGATAATTAGGACTGCAGAAAAAACAATTACTACCAACCTGCCTTCCATCGAGGACCTGCATACTGCACAAGTCAAAAAGAGGGCTGTGAAAATATTTACAGACACCTCACATCCCGGACATAAACTGTTTCAACTCCTTCTCTCAAAATGACGCTATAGAGCACTGCACACCAGAACAACTAAACAGAAGGAGAGTTTTTCCCCACATGCCATCACTCTGCTAAACAAATAACTCCCTCAACACTGTCCAACTATTTACAAAGTCTGCACTACTATTACTATTAATCTTCTCATCACTCCTTATCACCCCTCCCCTCCCACTTGTGACTGTATGACTGTAACTTTGTCGCTTGTACCCTTACGATTTATATTGACTGTTTCCTAGTATGATTTGATTGCTTATTGTACCCTGTGACACTTATTAAGTGTCGTACCTTATGATTCTCGACTCTTGACAAATTTATATTTTGTTTTATGTATACTGAGAGTAGTTACACCAAGACAAATTCCTTGTGTGTCCAATCACACTTGGCCAATAAAGTATTCTGTTCTATTCTATTCTTGGATGAGAAGAGAAAGGTCTTCAAAGAGAAACCAGGAAGTCCTGTTGCCTCTTGGAAAAGCATCTTTGGGGTTTGCGTGAGCACTGGGTGGATGGAGCTCTGGCCAAATCCCAAAGATGCAACTGGACTTTCTTGGTATTTTTTTTTCTTTTCTTTGAAAACACTTCACTTTTCATCTAAAGAACTGAAGAAGCTACTTGGATGAGAAGCAAAATGTTTTCAAAGGGAAAAAAAACCCAAGAAAGTCCAGTTTGGGCAGTTTGCTTGGGCAGGGGGTTGGATTAGATGACCTACAAGGTCCCTTCTTACTCTGATTATCTGTTATCTGTTGCCTTTTGGAAAATAGCAGCTTCGGACAAGCGTGGCCTGGATGATTGAGAATCTCTGTAGACACTGAATTGAATTGAATTGAATGTACTTGGTCAAGTGTGATTAGACACACAAGGAATTTGCATCTGTACAAAAGCACCCCTTGTACATGCAAAGCAACATCATCATAATCATTATCATCGTATATTTTAAGAAGATACTTGGTTGATACTTGGTTGATGCTGGTAGCAACCCGTATCAACCATCAGAGCCAGTCAATGGTATTTGTGATACATTTGTAAATGTTCAGTTGATTAAGTTTCATGTTTAATGAATAAAAGAGATAACAAGAACAACAACAATAGTAACACAATAAGTTGAAGAGAAACAACAAGAGATCTACAAATTGAAGTCGAACTATTGTGGAGGCAGAAATCAATGGTTATACCAATAGTAAAAGGAGCCTTTGGAGCAATACCTACAGGGCTGCCTAGATACATGGAAAATTCAAACTTATTAGACCTGAATATCCTAACTGCAAAAAAACCCCAACAACCCACTTTACTCAGAACTGCCTATATACTCAGATGTTACCTTAACATCTCTTACATCTTAGGTCCTTGGTTGGTGTTATGATATGTACAGAATAACTCTTGAGTAACAAGGATATGCACATGAAAATGTTTATGAGAGTAGTTATGAATAATTATTCAGCCACACACAGATACACTAAATTGAGTTAAGGTTTATTTTAAGGAATAGCACAGTCCAATAAACAGTCCAGGTCATACACGTTTTACAGTCCAAAGAATATCCAATTACAAAATCATCTTACTGGTTGCCTTTGTCATTTACAGTAAACAAAGATAAAGTATAAGCACAGCATAAATGTAACCTTAGATAGAGACAGAATGTCAGAGAGAACAAGCCATGACCTCTAGCTCCCTCTTATGGCAATTCACAATACAATCAACCAGTCGGAACATAGTACAAATCAATACAGTAACTTTGTCTTACGCTACAAACATACATTGTTGGTTTATATATTGCCAACCCAACTAATTGTTGGACAGATTCCTAACAGTTAGGACTTTAAGTTTTTACCAGTTCCAGACTGTAAATTGAATTGAAGATTAAATCAATAATAATAATAATAATAATAATAATAATAATAATAATAATAATAATAATAATAATAATAATAATAATAGACTAAGATAACAAGGATAAATAACAATACTACAGCCACATACATGGGTTAATAGACATTAGGCAGCACTGAGAGAATTAAGTGTTTAACAGAGTGATGGCACAAAGGAAAAAACTGTCCCCGTGTTATAGTTGTTTTGGCATACAATGCCCTGTTGTGCCAGGAAGGAGTTGAAACAATTCATGTCCAGAATGTGAGGGCTCTGCATTTAGTGATGAAGGACAGGATATCTCTTTACCGTAAATCACGGTGCCCTATATGTCTCTTCCATCAGAGACCAGAAATGCTTCAGATTTTCAGAATAGAATAAGAACAGAACAGAATAGAATAGAATAGAATTCTTTTATTGGCCAAGTGTGATTGATCACACAAGGAATTTGTCTTGGTGCAAATGCTCTCAGTGTACATAAAAGATGCGTTCGTCAAGAATCAAGAATCATAAGGTACAATTCTTAATAATAGTCATAGGGTACAATAAGCAATCAAATCATACCAGGAGATAGTCAACATAAATCAAGGATACAAGCGACAAAGTTACAGTCATACAGTCACAAGTGGCAGGGAGTGATGAGGAGTGATGAGACGGTTAATAGTAATAGTAGTGCAGACTTTGTAAATAGTTGGACACTGTTGAGAAAATTATTTGTTTAGCAGAGTGATGGCATTCAGGGGGAAACTGTTCTTGTGTCTAGTTGTTCTGGTGTGCAGTGCTCTATAGCGTCTGTTGAGGGAAGGAGTTGAAACAGTTTATGTCCAGGATGTGAGGGGTCTGTAAATATTTTCACAGCCCTCTTTTTGACTTGTGCAGTATGCAGGTCCTCGATGGAAGGCAGGTTGGTAGTAATTGTTTTTTCTGCAGTCCTAATTACTCTCTGAAGTCTGTGTCTGTCCTGTTGGGTTGCAGGAACCAAACCAGACAGTTCAGTGGGTGGGAAATGGATTCACGTCTCCTTTACGAGGATTCTTCCCATAGAGCCAGGGAGAATTGTTGCTGAAGGAGAACAAGATTCTCTGTAATTCTACCATTTTGTTTTCTTTTGGAAGTATCTTGTATTGCTTAATCTGTTTCTTGATGCAGAACAGGAACCGATGAAGAGAGAAGCCTGAGGGCCACTTGGCGCATCTTTGCACCTCCGTCCACTAGAAAGGAACATGGAAAATCAAGAAGAAACAAACAAAATTCTACCTCTATTGGAAAACGTGATCAAAATGGATTTGCAATACCTACCAGAGAACAGAAGAGTTGCTCATGCTGCCCTCTCTTCATCTGCACAGCCTGAATGGAAAGAAGAGAGAATTGGGCAGAAGAACCAAGAGGAAGAAAATACCAGCTTGGCTGGTCAGTGGCAACGGTTGAGAAGTCTCTGTGGTAAGGATGCCAATGGGCCACGAGCGGTTTGCAGCCAACTACACTATCTTTGTCGTCAGTGGCTAATGCCTGGAAGAAACACAAAAGCTCAGATGTTAGATCGCTTGGTGTTGGAGCAGTTCTTGGCTATCCTGCCCCTGGAGATGAAAAGCTGGATCAAGGAATGTAGAGCCGAGACCAGTTCCCAAGCAGTAGCCCTGGCAGAAGGTTTCCTTCTGAGCCAAGCAGAGCAGAAGAGAGAACTGCAGGTAAGAAGATGTGCCATGGTGTAACCAAAAAAGAGTCAGGGGATGAAAAACAATTACTGCATTTTTAAACATGTCCCTTCTGGGAAAGTGATAACATCAGTAGGAGATTGAACTCTCCTGCGGGAAAAGTTTCTTATTTTTATTTTATTATTTATTCATAAAATATGCACTGATGAATTTTATACATTTATTATTGACAGATAAAATTATTGTTTTATTATTATTCACTCTTCAATATTTTCTTTAATGACGTAGATGAGGGAATAGAAGGGGAACTTACCAAATTTGCAGATGATAGTAAGCTGGCAGGAAGAGCTAACACCCAAGAAAATAGGCTCAAGATTCAGGTGGATCTTGACAGACTAGAACACTGGGCCGTATCTAACAAAATGAAATTCAATGTAGAAAAAAGTAAAGTCCTACACTTAGACAAGAAAAACCAAAATTAGACATATAGACTGGGTGAAACAGGCTCAATAGCAACCAGCTAAATATGAGCCAGCAGTGTGCAGCAGCAGCCAAAAAAGCTAATGCAACCTTAAGTTGCATTAACAGAGAGATACAATCAAGATCAAGTGAGGTACTAATATCACCCTATAAAGCCTTAGTAATACCGCACCTAGAGTACTGCATCCAGTTTTGGTCACCACACTATATAAAAGATGTTGAGACTCTAGAAAGAGTGCAGAGAAGAGCAACCAGGATGATTAGGGGACTGGAGACTAAAACATATGAAGAATGATTACAGAAACTGGGCATGGCTAGTCTAGTGAAGAGAAGGACCAGGAGAGACATGATAGCAGTCTTCCAGTATTTGAGGGGCTGCCACAGGGAGGAAGGATTCAAGCTATTTTCTAAAGCGCCTGTAGGCCAGACAGGGAATAATGGATGGAAACTGAACAAGGAGAGATTTAACCTGGAAATAAGGAGAAACTTTCTGACAATGAGAACAATCAACCAGTGGAACAGCTTGTCCTCGGAAGTTGCGAGAGCGCCATCACTTGAGACTTTCAAGAAGAGATTGGACTGCCACTTGTCAGAAATGGTGTAGGGTCTCCAGCTTGTGCGGGGTGGTGGTGGACTAGATGACCTACAAGGTCCCTTCCAACTCTGATTATCTGTTATCTGTTATTATTTCTTAATATGATGATTAGGAGACTGGAGGCTAAAACATGCAAAGAACGGTTGCAGGAACTGGGTATGTCTTGTCTAGTGAGGAGAAGGACCAGGGGGAGACATGATAGCAGTCTTCCAATATCTCAGGGGCTGCCACAAAGAAGAGGGAGTCAAGCTACTCTCCAAACCAGCTGAGGGCAGGACAAGAAGCAATGGGTGGAAACTAATCAAGGAGAGAAGCAACTTAGAACTAAGGAGAAATTTCCTGACAGTGAGAACAATTTATCAGTGGAACAACTTGACTCCAGAAGTTGTGAATGCTCCAACACTGGAAGTTCTTAAGACGAGATTGCACAGATATTTCTCTGAAAGGGTATAGGGCAGTGGTGGCACCTGTGCCCCCACCCCCTTGCACATGTGCGTGATCCCCTTGCCGCACGCGGCTCATCTCTGCGCCTGCGTGCACGATTCCCCCGCCGCGCGCCCTCCGCCTGTGCATGTGCGCATGATTCCTCCACATGCTGTGCATCTTTGCACATGCGCCTATGGCCCCCAGTATGTGCTGCACATCACTGCACATGCGTGCGTGTCTCCCGCGCACCAGATACACGACAATCAGTTGTCGGGCAGCGGTGGTGTGCGCACATTCACAGTAGGACTCTTCCAGGCGAGTTCTTGCGCGCCGGGGGAAATTGCTCTGCGTGCCACTTCCGGCATGTGTGCCATAGGTTCGCCATCATGAGTCTAGGGTTTCCTGCTAGAGCAGGGGATTGGACTAGAAGACTTCCTAGGTCCCTTCCAACTTCTGTTATTCTGTTATGGTTTCCTTTTGGTAAATTTATCAGGACATGTGAAAAGTTTAGTTTAGTGTAGTTTAGTTTATTGTCACTGCACCTTGTACAACTGTAGAGTTGTAATTGCAGGAATGTTCCAATCTCGGATGGCAAACCTCAGATAAAGAATGTTTCCAAGCAAATACAACTCAGGCAAACAAAGTCACTAATCTAAAGGAGGATTAGAGAGAGGAAGTAAACATATGTTAGACTTTAACTAGAGATAATTAATTGTGTTAATTACTATGCTAAACAGTAACGAAAGTTAAGCAGTAACCAAAGTTAACCAATGATGGAGGATAATTAAAAATGTGTATAAATGCAAGACTAGACTCCAATAAAGATCATCATGATTCAGTTGTTCATGATCAAACAACTCAACTGCCTTGTCATTACAACATACAACGAAATTAAATACCAACTTCAGTGTACATTACAGCTATAAAAATAAAACACAAACACACATCCTTCACATTCTATACAATTGAATTGAAAACCCCTGATGGTGCATAAATATTGCACTATATAGTAGAATTCAAAATAGTTACTGCCCTGGGATAGAAGCTGTTTTTTATCCTATTTGTCCTTGTTTTTATTATTCTGTACCGTCTGCCAGATGGTAATAGTTCAAAAAAAGGGTTCCCAGGATGAGATGGATCTTTGAGAATGTTTTGAACTTTCTTCAGGCAGCTGTAAAACTATAAAGCTTAAAGCTCTTCCAAAGAGGGGAGAGGGCAACCCATGATCTTCTGGGCAATGACGTTAACCCTCTGGAGTGCTTTCCTATTTGCCACTGTGCAATTGGCAAACCATACAGAGGTGCAGTAAGTTAAAATACTCTCTATGGTGCAGCGGTAGAAGGTCACCAGCAGTTTTTCATTCAGTTGTTGTTTCCTGAGAAGTCTCAGGTGGTATAATATCTGCTGGGCCCTTTTGACTAGTGCTGCAATGTGAGCAACCCAGGTCAGATCCTCTTCCAAAAGCTTCCCAAAAAGGGCTGTGGAATTGGAAACGTTGGGCAGAAATGCATTCTTTTCTCTTGGTTATTATTTCAGCTTCAGGAGCCCTTCGTGGAGGTGGTCGTTGAACACTCTAAAGCATGGGGAGATGTGCTACATCCCTCTCAGGAGGTGGACTTGGGGAAAAGCTCCCAGGAAGAGCCATCTAAGAATATCCCACCAGGTAATCCCATCATTCATACTACCGTACATAATTGACTTGACTTACAACAATTCACTTGTTAGTGTTCCAACTAACAAACTCCAATCCAATAAACTCCGAGACAAGCATTTTCTCAGAGTTCCATTTTATTAGAGTTGTCATATTGGCACATCTGGAAAAACCCAAACCTGAGACTTCTGGGTTTTCCCTTCCCATTAGAAATTCAAAGATCCACCCCCTGCACCCACCAGTCCATCACATGGTCCAATCAAACGTGGTCCCAACTGGAGACATTCTTCCAGAAACTCCTCTCCAGGTGCAGGGTAACATGTCCTTGACTGTGATAACCCGGAACATGGCACAAAGGCAACACAGTCAAATGAGCAATAAAAGTCCCTTTATTATCTCCAACTTTGCCCCCAATGTCCAGGTTACCTTTGGCTGGAGAAAAACTCTCTCAGAAACAGCCATTGACTGCAGAAAATTCAGTCCAAAACAAGGTACACACAAACTGTAATTAAAAATCCAAACAAACCAAGCTGAAGTAATTAACTTGACAGGGCAAGAGAAGGAATTTCAGATTTGAAAGCATGGCAAAACTCACACGGAAGACTCCAGGAATACAGATAAGCTACAACGCTACAAGATAAATTCACATTTGCTCCCAACAACTTGCTGTGTGCATGATTGGACATGTTGCTCCTCGTAAATCTTTTGAATTCTTTTGAACCTTGGCTTGAGGCTCATGATTTAATTAGGGCAATCGTCGGAACCCTGACAGCAAGCCAACTCTGAGACACGTAATTTACTTAACAATTGTGACAAGAAAGGTCATAACATGAGGCAAAATGTTTGTAACTCCTGTCTTGCTTAGCAACAGAAATGTTGGGCTCCATTGTGGTCCTAAGTCAAGAACTCCCGGTTTCTTAGCTACTGTTATTTTATGACCTTGTTTTGGAAAAGACCTTAGGCCTGAGTGCAAGAATACTTTGGTGTATGATTCTTTTGATGTTTCTAAAACCTGTATTTTCTCCTCTTTTATCTCACTCTCAGAGAATGGAATGTTACAGATGGCACCTGTGGAAATATCTCCTCTTTATAGTGAAGCAGAAACAGTAGTTATTCTTCCAGCTCAGGTAGGAGGACTTTTCCCTCTTGCAACCGATTAGAATGACTCAAGGGGCATCCATTTTCAACCAAGATAGCACAGCCAATTTCTCTCACTTTATTAACTTCCCTGTAATCAATATTTGGAGCATGAGCAAACTTTCTATAGGTAAATAAGAGTCCACAAAAGACTGCATTCAGGGGTGGGATTCTGCTGGTTCGGACCGGTTCTATAGAACCGGTTGTTACGATTGTGCGCAGTTCAGAGAACTGGCAGATCATGCCCCTGGCTGGCCCCGCCCCTTTTCACCCGCCTTTCTCTTCCCTGCCCAGTCAGTCCTTATTGCGCATGCCCGACATCGCTGTCCGCCCAGCAATGCATTCTCCCCCACCCAGTCACTCCTTAAGGTATTTCTTTTTTTTTTTCCTCCCAAAAATCAGCTGTTCCGACGATCAGCTGTGTTGGGATCCCCCTCACTGTCTTACTGCTTCACCCAGGAGGCTTCCCTGAGGCCCAGGAGGCAAAAAGGGGCGTGTAGGGAAGGGGGGTGCTGGACATTTTTCCTTTCTGGGCCTCAGAGGAGCTTCCTGGGAGCAAAAACGCCCCCCCCAGGAGGCTTCCCTGAGGCCTAGGAGGCCCAAAAACGGAGTGCAGGGGATGCTGCGCCCCCACCCCCTCTGTTTTTTTGTTTTTCTGGGCCTCAGGGAAACCTTCTGGGAGCAAAAATGCCTCTCAGGAGGCTTCCCTGAGACCGAGGAGACTCAACAACTGAGTGCGGGGTGGGGAGGGTGCTGCCAAAAAAAACAGAAGAAGCCACGCCCACCCAGTTATGTGGCCATGCCCACCTAGCCATGCTCACAGAACCGATTGTTAAAAAATTTGAATCCCACCCCTGGCTGCATCATGAGTTCTTAATTGATGTCATTTCATAATTGTTCCTGGAATTCATTCCCCGGTGAATTCATTCATCGTGGAATGGATCATTCTTCACTGATCTGATGAATAAGGGCTGCGTTGTTACCTGAAGGACATCATAAGCCATGAGTTAACATTTCACAGAGGACTCAGCAAGTTTCTTTACAGGTTGGCTCTGAAGTTCCTATTTAATGAAGCATCCACGGTTGTGGTATCAGTTGATCAAGAGGAATATTGGAATCACAACCCTCTGATATCCCGTTTCCCTGAAAATAAGACCTATCCCCAAAATAAGACCTAACATATTTTACTTGTGCATCTAAGCCCTACACCCCCCCTCCAAAATAAGCCCTACTTAAGCGCCGGCACAGCCAACCACCCGACGATTCTATCTGATTGCTTGTGGTGCCGCCAACGCAAGGCAAGGGGTGGTGGAGCTGCCCCATGTGCCCTGCACTGGCTTACCTCAGAGACCCCACAGCCAGGCCATCCATGCCCCGACAGCTGCCTCACGGCAGCAGCACCAACACCCATGTACAGCAGGAATCCATGTGGCCACCGACTCACTTCTTCTGCTTGCTCGTGGCCGCAGGTATTGGGGTGTGGATGGCCTGGCTGCAGGGGCCCTGAGGTAAACAGGTGCCGGGTGCATGAGGCAGCTCCACCACCCCCTGCCTCGTGGCGGTGGCACTGGTGCACCGCGCAGCCTCCTGCCCACCACAAGCAAGCAGAAGAAATGGGCTCCCCATACATGGAAAACAAATAAGACACCCCCCCCCCCGAAAAGCCTAGTGCTTATTTTCGGGCCCTTATGACCCGCTCTTATTTTCGGGGAAACTCGGGTATTTGATGTAATATCTAATGTTTTGTGCAGAGTCAGTAGAATCAATAAAACATTTACCAATCGGTAGGTTGTGTTCTGTTTAGTATCGCAAAATTTATCTGTAGGATGAGATTATTTATCTAGTACAGTTGTCTCCAAACTTTAAGACTTGTAGACTTCAGCTCCCAGAATTCTCAACATAGCTGGCTGAGGAATTCTGGGAGTTGAAGTCCACAAGTCTTAAAGTTGCCAAGTTTGGAGACCTCTCATCTAGCACAAAGAGAAACTCTGGTATTGGGACTTGTTCATTAAAAGATTATATATATATATATCTACGAAAACATATAATAAATATAATAAATAATATAATAAATATAATAATAAAAAATAATATAATAAATATAATAATAAAAAATAATATAATAAATATAATAGAAGAGATGATTCCACCAGACTGTCAATCATTTGGAAGCCTGCACTCACAAACAAAAAAATCTCCACACCACTAGCCAGGCAAACACCTGGGCACAAACAGATCCCCCCTGATACCTCCAGCTCAAACACACCCCAACCAGGCACCCAGATGAAACCTAGCTTCCCAACAAATGATAGCCGTCTATTTACTCGGAGCCAAGCTGCACTAAAAGCCTCCAATACAGGAACACAATGTTGCCAGCCAACCAAGACACAAAAAAAGCCACAAAACAGACAGAAGATATTAGAAACACCAATCAAGCGGGAACACAGCAAACTCGAAGACCAATAAACACAGACCAAGACTCCCAACGAATCATGATGAAGAAAAAACCATTCTGGCACAGCAGTAGGCTAGCCCCAAATTTAAAACTGAAACAACTGTAAAAGTCTGACTCACAGACGAACACAATACAGAAGCTTGATGATGGCAGATGAGATTCTGCCGAAACATTGCTACAACTTTAAAAGCACAACTATAATGACGTGGGAAAATACCTGAACAAAGCTGAATACCATACATGTAAGTACCCACGAAAACTTAAGAAAAGAAATATGTATGTATGTATGTATGTATGTATATGTATATGTATATGTATATAATTTCCACTAACTCTTCACTGATAAGGGATTGTTCTCTTCCTATTACAGGTTCCTCTGATTTTTGACGATGTAGCTGTATTTTTCTCTGGGGAAGAATGGGCTCTGTTGGATTTCAACCAAAAAAATCTATATAGGGAGGTCATGCTGGAAAATGCTAGGAATTTGGCCACCTTGGGTAAGTTTTTTTTCTTTATTTTATGTTAAGAGGATAATTTCTACTACAAAGTAACTAGGAGGATAACAGAGTTGGAAGGGATCTTGGAGATTTTCTAGTCCAGGGGTGGCTAACCTTTTTCGGCTCATGTGCCGATAATTGCGTGTGCGCTTGGGCTCACGTGCCAGCACCCAGAAGGCAATGCGTGCTGCCCCCTCATCCCCCCATGCCCCCTGTGCATGCAATTCCCCCACTGCACGCCATGCATCTGCGTATGCGATCACCGTGTGCACTGCGCACCTCTGTGCATGTGCACGTGTTTCCCCACTGCAAGCCATGCATTTCGCATGTGTGCGCGATCCCCCACGCTTCATGTCTCAGCGCATGCACAAACAATTCCCCCGCAATGTGCATCTCTGCGCATGCGTGTCTTTATGGGTTCATAAAAAGACAGATAAAACATAATCAGAGTTGGAAGGGATCTTGTAGGTCATCTAGTCCAACCCCCCACACAAGTGGGAGACCCTACACCATTTCTGACAAATGGCAGTCCAATCTCTTCTTGAAAGTCTCAAGTGATGGCGCTCCCACAACTTCTGAGGACAAGCTGTTCCATTGGTTGATTGTTCTCACTGTCAGAAAGTTTCCTCTTATTTCCAGGTTAAATCTCTCCTTGTTCAGTTTCCATCCATTATTCCTTGTCTGGCCTACAGGTGCTTTAGAAAATAGCTTGAATCCTTCCTCTCTGTGGCAGCCCCTCAAATATTGGAACGCTGCTATCCTGTCTCCCCTGGTCCTTCTGTTCACTAGACTAGCCATGCCCAGTTCCTGTAAGACAAAATAAAAATAAAAAAAATAGGTTAATAGAGAAATACTAGATAAGAAGCAGCTAATGGGGCTTGATTCCTAACAGCACTCTCAAGTTGTGCTTTACATTTCTCATATATTTTTTTCTTTTTTGATTCAACAGGTGATGGATGGGAGAACGAGAATTACGAAGAGGCAGCTTTCCAAACAGTCAGAACTGAAATTGGAGAAGAGAAGTTTCAAAATCAGCAAAGGCCACAGTGGCCAGAGGCAAACCAGTTAAATGGTGAGCTCCAAAACTCCTCTACCTCTCAAAATCTGGATGTCCATCTTTTCCTGATTCAAGGAGATCACGGAGAAAAAGGAATGGGCTTCCCATTTGGAGAAACAATTAGAGAGGAATCCGATGCATGTGAACGCCCCAGTATTTATATGAGAGAGATGCAAGACGGATGCAAGGAAGATGGGAAAAGTTTCAAGTGGGACATCCCTCTTGCTTTCCATCAAAGCATCCATGCAGAAGGAAAACCATATAAATGCATGGAATGTGGCAACAGCTTCAGTAACAGCAACCATTTTATTTCCCATCAAAGGACCCACTCAGGGGAGAAACCATACAAATGCCTGGAGTGCGGAAAGAGCTTCAGTGAAAATAGCTCCCTTACTTCCCATAAAAGGATCCATTCAGGCGAGAAGCCGTACAAATGCGCGGACTGCGGAAAGAGCTTCAGCCAGAGTGGGCAGCTCACGTCTCACAAAAGGATCCACACGGGAGAAAAGCCGTACAAGTGTGCGGAGTGTGGCAAGAACTTCAGTCAGAATGGTCAGCTCACGTCTCACAAAAGGATCCATTCTGGAGAGAAACCGTACAAATGCGCGGAATGCGGAAAAAGCTTCAGCCAGAGTGGCCACCTCACTTTCCATAAAAGGATTCACACTGGAGAGAAACCTTACAAATGTATAGAATGTGGAAAGAGCTTCACCATAAGCAGTCACCTTACTTCCCATAAAAGGATCCACACGGGGGAGAAACCCTACAAATGCACGGAGTGTGGAAAGACCTGCAGTACCAACAGTGATCTTACTTTGCATAAAAGGATCCATTCAGGGGAGAAACCATATAAGTGCATGGAATGTGGGAAAGACTTCAGTCAGCGAAGTAATCTCATCTCCCATAAAAGTATACACTCGGGGGAGAAACCCTATAAGTGTAAGGAGTGCGGGAAGAGCTTTAATCAGCGAAGTAATCTTATTTCTCATAAAAGGATCCACTCGGGAGAGAAACCCTACAAATGCATGGAATGTGGAAAAAGCTTCACTTGGAACTGTCAACTGACTTCTCATAAGAAGATTCACACAGGGGACAACCCAATAAACGTGTTGACTGTTGAAAGAGCTTCGTGGACTCCAGTTCTGAGTTGATGGAACACCATGACAAGTTGGACACGAATGCATGACAGACTTAAAGAAAGAATTGTATCTGCAGAGTTGAAGGAAGGACGAAGGAGAAATCAGTAGTAGAATGGATAGTTAAGGTGCTTATAGAAAAATCCTTTAAAAGGTGCGAGTATTAATAGAGACACACTGAGATGCCAAGCATTTATTCATGTGGTGGTGTACTTAGATTCTTTCCTGACTAGGTAGCATTTATTCAAGCACAAAAAAGCCAACTATTGTGTATGCCATGGGATCCTTCAGCGACACCAGGTTTTTTTTAACCATGTGCCCGAACTACCAAATGGGAAAGTGAGTTTTTCCCCAAATAATCTGAAATGAATTATGTTTGAAAGAGTTAGAGCTAACAGGAAGCCAGGCGCCAAAGGACACCATCAAAGCTGACACCAGCCAGAGCTTAGAACACGGGTGTCAAACTCGCCGCGTCACGTTGCTGTCACGTGATGTTGCGTAATTTCCCCCCCCCTTTCGCGGAGCTGGGGTGGGCGTGGCCTGCATGTGATGCATCCAGCCTGCAGGCCACCGATCTCTGGCATAGAACAACTTCAAAGAAGAAAAGTCCATAGAATCGTCAAGAGTCCGACACCACTGATTGGATAAAATCTTCGTTGTTTAGCATTTTGCCTTACATTAATCTCCTGAGAAGCTTCTGTTGAACATGAAGGGATATAGGCAGTGGTGGGATTCAACCGGTTTCCACCACTTCAGCTGAACCAGTTGTTAAATTGCTGGCTGGCCCATCCCCTCCCCTTCCAAGAATCCCCACGCGCCCCGTTTTAGCTCCCAAGTAAGTGCAGGGAGGCCCACTAGGCCCAAAATGAGGTGCGGGGAGGATATGGTGTGTCGTCCCCCCCATGGCCCCATTTTTGCTCCCAGGACAGGGCAGGATAAGGAATTACAGACTTCCAAAGATAACGAAACACACACAGTTGGGAAGATGACAGAACCCAGATAAGACTTGAAAAACAACGATAATGCACGCTTTTCTTCCAGAAAGGTGCTATGTGCAAACACCCTTTTAAAATCCTGTTTTCCTGGCTGCAGCTAATGAAGGGAATCAGGGCCCTTTTCTCTCCCATAACCCCCGTAACTCACATTGCTCCCTTCTCCATTCCTCCCTGCATGCCCTAAGATGAAGAGAGGGTGGGCCTAGGTGTTCTTCTGAATGCCCAGCCGGACTGCCCTTTCCCAGTTTCCTCCACAGCCACCGGAGCCACACTCCCACTCCCTGACAGCTGCTCGACCTCCCCCTCGGAATCAGATTCCAACAGGGGCATGACAGTGGCAACCGCATCACTGTGACACAGTAGCTCTGATGATTGGTTATAACGGGTGTCAAACTCAAGGCCCAGGAGCCAGATCCAGCCCATGGGATGTTTAGATCTGGCCTACGGGACCACCTGGAAACAGCAAAGGACTGGCCTGCAGTACCTCACGTGGCCCTCCCGAGCTCCGTTTTTGCTGGTAGAGGATTGCAGGAGGCTGTTGTAGCAAAAAAATGGAGCTTAGGAGCCCGTTTTCGCTGGCACAGCACTCAGGCCAGCACTGGTGCCTCCGACACAAGTGACATTGAGCCGGCCACACCCGCCCACCTCCAGGGTCAAACACAACCCTGATGCGTCCCTTAATGAAATCGAGTTTGACTCTCCTGGGTTATAAGTAAGCATGTTTCCCTGAGAATATGACCTCCCCCGAAAGTAAGTCCTAACATGATTTTTATACATGGGCCCAATATAAGCCTTAATTAACACCCTGCCCATTCCAGTATGCATGGCTAAAAGTTAAGCTACAGTGGGGATGGGGGTGTGTGGAGCTGCCCTACTACTTACCTTTGGAAAGTTGCACCCAGGCCTCGCACACCTTGACACCTGCCTTGCCGGCCTATTTCTTCTTCGGCCAGCAAGGCTTTCCTGAAAACCTCTGCAGCCGATAACAGAGGTCTGTTATCAGCTGCAGAGGCCTTCAGGAAAGTCTTGCCGGCTGCAGAAGAAGTTCCTGAAGGCCTCTGACAGCGAAAAGAAGGCTGGGGGCGACGCGCGCAACGGAGGTGAGTCAGTGGCATCCTTCCCCCCCTCCAGAAAATAAGACCTGGTGCCTTTTTGGGTGGCAAAACAATATAAGTCTTATTTTCATGGAAACAAGGGTACCAGTTGCTCAGTGCCATTGGAAAATCAAACAGTTGCTGAATGACTGATCAATAAGCAAGGACGACCTGTATTACTTTCCCTCACTCCATTTCCAGTTTTATCCCTGGTTATCTTTCTGTCAACTTGTAAAGCATTCCTATGCCTGTTATGGAGTTGCCATAAACAGAGGGGGAGAGAGGAAACCTGAAGGAGCAGCAGTTTAAAACCAGAAGTAAATTCCAACATTTATCTTACAAAGATTGTAGCTAAGCTACCAGGTCTTCTGCCCATGAAAATCCTTAATTGGAGAACGTGTTTGATGACACCCAGCCTGTGAATGTGCTTAATTGGAGAATCTGATTTATGACACACCCGGGGGGAGGGGGGAAACAGGGACACAGGTGGCCATAAATTACGTAGGCCAGAGTTGGCTTCATACAGGTTAATGCCGGACATGTTACTCCTAATAAATCTTTTGATTTCTTTTGAAGCTTGGTTCGAGGCTCATGATTCAATTAGGGCAATCGCCGGAATCCTAACACTTTCTTTTTCCAGAGGAACCATTACTTCATATTTCTCCTTTTTCTCGCTGCTGGAGGGAGGGAGAAGAGTGCTGATGTGTGAGAGTGTGAATTGTGGATGTATGCAGAGTTTGTCTGGATATATGGATATATCAAGTTAGCTTGCTGTTTGGCTGGCAATTTTCATCTGTTAATTGACCTGACATTAATCTCTTTATCTTGGACCTTGTTAAATATGGAGTGGGGATATGGCTTCTGACTGATGCATGTATAGAGCCATGTGTCCATATGTGTAGATTGGGTCCCATAGTCATATTTATTGGGAGATCATTAGCAGGTTTTACCTGAAGTGAGCATTGTGTAAATAGAGGTAGTCCTCAGCTTACGACCACAATTGAGCCCAAAATTCCTGTCGTGAAGGGAGACATTGGTTAAGTGAGCTTTGCCCCAATTTACAACCTTTTTTGCCATAGTTTAATAAGTGAATCACTGCAGTTGAGAAGTTAGTAACTTCTTGATATATGCTGCTAAAGCGTAAGCTGTGTCTAAATAGGAGGAAAATCTTGGGGTTGTACTATGAAGCGCAGTGCAGAGGCTAACTACCGTGTTTCTCATATAATAAGGCTGGGCCTTATTTTTTTTTGAGCCCCGAAAAAATGGCTAGGTCATCTTTTCAGGGGTGACTTAATTCCCACCCCCCTTGCATCTTCGGGCGGGCGGCGACGGCTTGGATGTTGACCTCGGCGTTGGTGGGGCACTTCATATCGGGGTCAACGCAGGCAGCACCATATCCGGGTGTGCAACAAAAGTACTTCCTAATGGCAAGCCCCCCCACCATTCCCCCCATTTCACATGTTTTAATATAGGCCTTAATTTGGGGGAGGGGCTTAATTTCATTTCATGCATATAAAACATGCTGGGACTTCCTATTGGGGGAGGCCATATTGTTGGAGAAACAGGGTATGTAGTAGCTCTGAAAGGCAAGTACCAGTTTAGGAATCATTAAGAAAGTTATTGAAGACAAAACAGGCCACATTATCATTCCGTTTTGCTTAACACTAAATCATACTAAGATAACCATTTGTCTGAAATGGTATGGGGCAGTGGTGGCTAGCCTGTTTGGCCTCCTGTGCCAAAAATTGTGTGCACGCTGGCGCTCGTGCAATGTGTGCCCCTCCACGCCCAGAAGGCAATGCACACCTCCCCCACACACCTCTGCACATGCGCGTGTAATCCCCCCGCCCCCCCCTTACCTGCACTGTGCCGCACCGTGGCTGGTTTGAGGCCTTTTTCGGTCTCCCAGAGACTTGAAAAAAAAGCCTCTGCAGGCCGAATAGGCCCGTTTCGTCACTTCCAATACTACAGGAATAATACCCTGTAAATAGCATAGCTGGTTGGAGAATTCCGGGAATCGAAGTCCACAAGTCTTAAAGTTGCCAAGTTTGGAGACCTCTGTTCTAGCAAATCATGCTCCACTGGGGCACCAGGGAACGGTTCCGTGGGCAGAAGTTTTTCCACGAACCGGAATGAGCTGCATCCCGCAAATAGGTCTTTGCTTATTTGTGCAGCCCAGTTTCTGGCATGCCACAGCTTGGTGCCGATCCACAGACCGGGAATTGGAGGACCCGTGGGATATAGCTATAAAAATAGCGATTAAAATATAAAATATCCAGTCCAAAAGGTGCTTTTTTTTTTCTTCTTCAAAAGGCAACTGGACAAACAAGGTCCAGTTGCCTTTTGAAGAAGCACCTTTGGGATAACCATGACCTGGATGATTGAGACTCTCCAGAAACAGCTGGAGCTGTGGACGATCTGAAAAGGCAATGGATGGGGATGGGGATGAGATTGGGAGAGGATAGAATAGAAATAGACTAGACTAGACTAGGAATAGAATAGAATAGAATAGAATAGAATAGAATAGAATAGAATAGAATAGAATAAGGAACGGAATAGACTAGACTAGGAATAGACTAGAATAGAATAAGGAATGGAATAGACTAGACTAGGAGTAGACTAGAATAAGGAACAGGGATGGAATAGACTAGACTAGGAATAGTCTAGACTAGAATTAGGAATAGGAATGGAATAGACTAGATGTCAAGTTCCCAAGTGATGAAATCCATTTTAAAAGAAAAGAACAAAGTCCATCTTCCAAGACAATTTCTTTTATTTAGGAAAGCATCAAATTGGCAAAGTCTGTGGTAATTCTGGATCTGACACAACCCGGAGTTACCACACAATATTACAAGTTAGAAACAACCCCCAAAAGTCACATTC